ACCTTATTATACACGGTAGTATCCACTGCATTAATAGACTGTAAAACAGCACATATATTTGAATTGAGGGAAAGTCCTCTTCACTCCAGGAAGATGACCTGCTCTGAGATTCTGCAGGGATAAGGCACCCTTCAGCATAGCTCCTCCTGCCTCCAGGCAAGACAACTCTTGCATGAAGTTCCCTCCCTCCCACCCATTTCTGCAGCAGGAAACCACCAGTACTCAACTAGAAAGCTGGGAGTGCCCAAAGCCCAGCCTGTGCCCTGGAGCCCTACAAGGTCTGCAACTGCAACATGAGAGCTTGACAGTATGTTGTAACCACAACAGTGATTTATAAATAGCAATAAGAAGTACTCTATGCCAGGCGCGGCGGCTCACACCTGTAATCCCAGCGTTTTGGGAGGCCGAGGCAGGTGGATCGCAAGGTCAGGAAATTGAGACCATCCTGGCCAACATGGTGAAACCCCGTCTCTACTAAAAATTCAGAAATTAGCTGGCACGATGGCACGTGGCTGTAGTCCCAGCTACTCAGGAGGCAGAGGCAGGAGAATTGCTTGAACCCAGGAGCGGGTGGTTGCAGTGAGCTGAATCGCGCCACTGCACTCCAGCCTGCGGACGGAGAGAGACTCTATCTCAAAAAAAAAAGAGGCTGGGCAAGGTGGCTCATGCCTGTCATCCCAGCACTTTGGGAGGCTGAGGTGTGTGGATCATGAGGTCAGGAGTTAGAGAGCAGCCTGGCCAATATGGTGAAAGCCCATCTCTAATAAAAATACAAAAAATTAGCTGGGTGTGGTGGTGTGCATCTGTAGTCCCAAGCTGCTTAAGAGGCTGAGGCAGGAGAAATGCTTGAACCCGAGAGGTGGAGGTTGCAGTGAGCCAAGATCATGCCACTGTACTCTAGCCTGGGCGACAGAGCAAGACTCCATTTAAAAAAAAAAAGGTACTCTAAAATGGCTGGTTAGGGACAAGGCAGGGGTCCCTAACGAGGATGGCATAACTGGAGGAAACTGTTTTCCCCAGACAGCAGGCAAAGTTCAGACCCTCTCCTTGTGACATGTCACTTGGAGATGTCTGATGAGGATTTATCATTAACAAGCATTCTGAGTAAAGAGGAAGGACAACTCCATCTCAGAAAGCAGGGCCAGGCCCTTTAGTTGGTAAGGGCTCAGGTGTGTGGGAACATGGTGTGGGAGGGAAGCTGGGACATGGGAACTAGAGGACAGAAGGGGAGGAGAAACCCATCCAGGACTGCCTGTGGAAACAGAAGGGATGCAAAAGCACTGAGCTGGCCAACAGCCCCAGCTGTGTTCAGGATGTAGAGAACCTCTGGGGCTTGGTGCCCCCCACCTGCCCTGCTTCAGGGCGAGGCCCTCAACCTCAGGCAGCTCACCAGGATTCCAGGTGTACCGTCAGCACGAGCACACAGCTCCTCCAAAGCAAGGGCACATCACCTCCTCCTGAAACTCTTCCTCCTCCTGAGTGCCCCGTTTCAGTGAAGGAACCAACTCCTATCACCAGGCACTGAAACTCCAAGCCCCCAGCACATCAAGTGTCTGTCCCGAAGGTATCTACTTTTGCAAGCTCTCTAGACTCAGTCCCCTCTTTTCCACTTCTACTGCCAAGTGCCAGCCTTCATGACATCTTATTTGGACTTTATCTAGTTGTCTATGTCCTCCCTGTCCCCTTATGACCCAGCCATACCCTGCTGCCAGTTAGCCCTCAGAAATTAGTCAGACTAAAGCCCCCCACTCCGCCACCTGTCAGTTCAGGTCGTCATCCAACACCTGTCTGTGCTGATTTTTTGCAGTGTCATTTCCTCTCCTTCTGGAGACACTTGTTTTTGGATACGGTCTAGGGGTTGCAAGGGAACTGCCCAGCATGCCACCAGCCCTTCCCTGGCCCAGGAAGGGAACAAGGAAACAGGGCCCAGCCTGGGCCAACCAGGCATTTCCTCCCTCAGATATGAATCCCAAGCAGTGATGACAAAATGACTCAGCACAGCTGGAGCAGATGCATCCTGCCAACAGCGGTGCCCCGAAGAGACTGCCTTTGGTCCCTGCTGCACCCACTCCAAGACCCTGGAGGGGACCTGGGTCCTGAGTCATGGCTCTGATTTTATAGTTCCCACAGCTTCCCGAGAATTGTTTTCCTGCCAAAGTCAGCCAATTGCTGCTTGCAACCAAACAGGACTCCTTTTTACTTTCTAAATAAATCCCTATGCTCTAGACAAAGGGACAACTCCCTAAGTGTGCCCTGTGACAGCCTTTCTTTGTACCTGTTGGCCTGCACAACCCTCCAGCCCAGAGGCACTGCTTGGAAACCTTCCCTTAGAGGCCCATGCCAAACGCCTTTTCTGAGCCCTCTATGGGGATGACTTCAACCTCCTTTTACTGGCCACACATCCGCTGTGCATACATTGCTAGACTTGTCTTATCCCCTCTTAGGGGACAGCAACTTGGACATTACTATCTCCTCCACAACACTCAGCAGAGTTCTTGGCTCAAAAAAACTCAGACTTGGCTGGGTGCAGTGGCTCACGCCTGTAATCCCAGCACTTTGGGAGGCCAGGCAGGTGGATCACAAGATCAAGATTGAGACCATCCTGGCCAACATGGTGAAACCCCATCTCTACTAAAAATACAAAAATTAGCGGTCATGGTGGCGTGCGCCTGTAATCCCAGCTACTCAGGAGGCTGAGGCAGAATTGCTTGAACCCAGGAGGCAGAGGTTGTGGTAAGCTGAGATTGCACCACGGCATTCCAGCCTGGGGACAGAGCAAGACTCTGTCTCCAAAAAAAAAAAAAAAAAAAAAAAGCCCACTTTTGGGGGCAGACAATCCCAAAGGACAATTAAGGTTTGCTGAGCACGACAAGGAGCAGGAACTAAGAGCAAGGGGTGTGCATCAGAAAGATGTGTTTCAATCCCAGATCTTCCTGCTATCTGTTTGGACAAGTCTCCTAAATTCTCTGTCTCAGTTCGTCATCTACAAAGCAGCAGCAACAACGCCAACCTGTAAGGATTCACTAACACCTGAGAGCACCTAGGATGATGCCCAGCTTGCAGCAAGCCCTCAATGAACAGCAGCCATTATTCAAGCTATTAGCAGCAACTGGTTTAGCAGCCACTCAGTAGGTGTTAGAAGCAGGAGTTCCAGGGTCACTGTGTGACCCACAGTGGATCTCTGTTCCTCAGTAACCCTACCCGGGTCTGTATCTGCCTTATAAATGTTCCACTGACCTGTAAAACAACAGCTGGAAAATGCTTTGCAAAGCACAATGTAAGTGATGCCTCCTGCTTTTCTGAATTTCAAAGACTCCCAGGCATCCCGTCCAGTGCGCAGCCATGGCAGGACTCCACTTGGCAGGCACCCCAACTCGCTTGGTTGGGGAAACAGGCACAGGGCAGACGAGGGCCGGGCTCAGCAATTTGCTTCAGTATGGCCACACAGTCACCTTTTTCCAAAGCCATGGCTCCTAAATTTCCTGCTTGGTTGTGGAGCCTTCCTTCAAAAAGGAAGCCTTCCTTCAAATAACCGTGGGGCAGTGTCCCCCAGTCATTGCCAACCCTGGGCAGCATCAGAGTGAAAGAAAGGCCAAACCAGTGCAGCTGCCAGAACAGCCTGCTAGGAAAGTAAGGTGGAAGAAGGTCTCTCTTAAGACTTTACGTGTAGCTGGGCACGGTGGCTCACGCCTGTAATCCCAGCACTTTGGGAGACCGAGGCGGGTGGAGCACCTGAGGTCAGGAGTTCAAGACAAGACCAGCCTGGCCAATATGGACACACCTGCCTCTACTAAAAAAAAAAAAAAAAAAAAAAAAAAAAGAATTTACATCTGCCTGGATTAATCTCTCAAGCAACTGTAATGGCCCCAAACTAGTGGTTCTCAAAGTATTAGCCCCAGGGAGCTGGAGAGAGATGCAAATTATAGGCTTCACCCAGAGTAAACCACAAGACTCTGGCATGGTGCCCAGCAATCTGTGCTTTAACCAGCTCTCCAGGAGACTGACTCTCGGTTAAGCGTGAAGGACCCTTCCCTAAACCTGTAACCATGAGACCTTCTGCCGTAACTCATTTAATGAACACCCACTATGTGACAAGGACCAAGCCAGGTGGTGGTATTTCAGAAAATGAAGACACATTTAAAAAACATCCACAGTCTAATGAGAGCCAAAATCAAGTACACAAATGCCACCAAAATAAGGCAGGAAGTGATAAAAACAACACAAAGGAATCTGTTTCCAACCCCTCTCCCCAGACCCTACCCCTCAGGTCTTCTTTTGTCATGAAGAGACGGAAAAGCCAAGCTGCCTAGCCTCCCAGAATCCCCAATCCTGGTACTGCAGACTCCTTAATCCCAGGTGCCCTCTCAAGAAGAGTGATCCTAGGCCAGGCACGGTGGCTCATGCCTGTAATCCCAGCACTTTGGGAGGCTGAGGCGGGAGGATCACAAGGTCAAGAGATCGAGACCATCCTGGCCAACATGGTGAAACCCCGTCTCTACTAAAAATACAAAAATTAGCCGGGCGTGGTGTCATGAGCCTGTATGTAGTCCCAGCTACTCAGGAGGCTGAGGCAGAGAATTGTTTGAACCCAGGAGGCGGAGGTTGCAGTGAGCCGAGATCGTGCCACTGCACTCCAACCTGGCGCCTGGCAAGTTGAGACTATGTCTCAAAAAAAAAAAAAAAAAAAAAAAAAAATGGTCCTTACCCTGACACTTGGCTGGAGTAGAAATGCTCCCCAGAGGCCACAGCCTGTGGTTCTTAGAAGGTTGATTTTATCTGGGATTTGCACTCTGAAAGTTCCCAGGAGCCCTCAGCATGCCACAGCACATCACAACAGTGCACTCCCAGGCAGGGTCACTCCCACAGGCCCCTGGCAAGCTTGCAAGCAAGTGCCCAGAGGCAGACATAAACATGCGCACAGACAGTTGGCCCCTGGCCTCCCTTCCTCCATTCTCAAGTTACAAGGTTAAAAGCATCCTATTCACAGCCAAGGGGGAGGGCTAGGAAGGGGTTGCTAAAGCAGTGAACCATCTGGTTCAGATCAAGATTGCTCCTTCAGGACCCCACAGAACTCCCGGAGCCTCCCATCCCTCCCTTCCTCCATCCATCCCACTGGGAAACTGGGGATTGGGGTTGCATGTATGACCACCCCCACCTCCACAAAAAAAAAAATCTGAAGACAACAAAAAACTGAATTATACAGGCAAGTCTGTGCCACCTCTCTGAGCCCTCGTTCCCTCTAAATCCTGAGCACCACGACTAAACTTGAGATCACCGCCCACAGACTCTGTGCCTTTCTCCAGAGATCAGGGCAGCCAGCAGGCATCCCTCCCTGAAAGGGCAACCCCTCCAAAGTTAGCAGCAGAAGCAAGATGATGCTTAGGGGTGTGGTCTCCCAGACTCCTCTTATGCCACGATCTCCCTAAAGGCCAGCGATGCGTTCCACCTCGGAGGGGCTTCAGAGCCCACCAGGCAAGGTAAGAGGAAGGGGTGGCCAACCAGCTTCCAGACATCCGTCCCAAAGACAAGGCGGGAGTGTAAGTTACTGGCCAGAGGCTCCAAAGTGCCCTGTACCCCCATCGGCTTTGACTGAAAAGAGGCCGCAGGCCCCTGTCTGCCCCCAGAGCCTCTCTAGCCCATTTCCCCAACACCACCTTTGACTCAGTCCTCTGCTCCTTTAGGCAGCAGTTAAAGCAAGAGGCAAGATGTGAGAAGAGAGATGGATGCAGTTGACAAAAGAGAAATCAAAAGGCTAACTTAAGCAAGCAAGCAATGGGTGGTAACTCCTCTACAGGCAGAGAGGGCCAGGAGTGGGCTATGCGAAGGAGGGAAGGGCAACAGGAGGGGCAGGAAGCTAAGTGACTCAAGTGAGCTCAGCCCAGAGCTGTGGCAGGGGGTGGAAGTTTGGTCCAGTCAATGGGGAATGACTCGGGGGGAAGAAATGACTTCCATTCCAAGGCAGAGAAGGAAGAGGAGAGAGGAGAGTTCTCTCCCTAAAAGCCAGCCTGGTTCAGGCCAGCCTCCACGGGACTGGCGCATTGGCCAAGTTTCTGGCTTACGCCGTGCCTCAGTTTCCCCAAAGTAGGAAAGTCGAGCTATGAGAACTGGGCCACGAGGGTGGCTAGGGGGGCAATGCCCGGTAAGGGAAAGATCACAGGGGAGAGAGGAGAGAGGTGCTGATGGGGCAGACAGGCTCTGGCCAAGAGAGGCCCAGGTGGAGCAGAAGCCGGCAACGCCAGGGGTTGGGGGTACGAACTAGGGAGTGGACTGGAAGTCGGGACCAGGGCACGGAGCTCTTCTGAGGGCTGGGGCTGGGGCCCGGGGCTGGGGGCCCGGAGCTAACGGCAAAGGAGCGGAGCGGGAACTCCGGGAGGCTGGGAACCGCTGGACGTGCAGAGCAGAAGGCGGGGATCCGGATTGAGGCCAACGCGCGCGGACCCGCACCCACGCGAGGGAGCCCGGCGCCCCAGTCCGGGGGAAGTTGCGGGGCGGGACCCGGCCGGTTTGGGCCGCTGGGCTGCGCCAGGGAGATCTGGGCAGCCAGGGGCCCTGGGCACTCGGCATCCCGCCCGCCCTCATCCCGCCCGCCCTCATCCCGCCCGCGCACCTCAGTCAGCGCCCGGCGCCGCGCGGGCCATGCTCGCAGCTCCTGCCGCCGCCACCGCCCGCGCAGAAAGCCGTCGCAGCCGGCGTCCAGACCCGTTAGCTCGCGGCTCTCTTGTCCGCGGACCGTGGGCTAGTCCCGCCCTTGCCCGACCCAGCCCTCCGGAGCGCCGCCGCCGCCGCCGCCGCCGCCGCCGCCGCCGCCGCCGCCTCAGCCCGGCCCCTCCCCCAACCTCTGCCCGGCTTGAAGGGAAGGGTGGGGGACAGGGGCGTCTGCCCCCACCCTATTCACATCCTCCCCGTCTCTCCCTCCCTCCGCCCCCAGCACGCGCGCAGGCATGCTGGAATATGAAGTCCAGCCGGCGCTGGGCCCCTGGGGGTGTCCCGCGTCCAGGACTACATCTCCCAGAAGATAGCGCGCGCACCTCAGGGATTGTGGGCTTTGTAGTTTCGCTAGGGCTCAAGGGGTCCGCCGCTCAGGAGGGGAGAGGGAGGGGGATGGGAAATCTTCTTTCTTAGAACGCAGGACTCTGGCGGCTGGAGCAGACCGCCCCAAGCCGGGTCAGATACCTGGGTCCCCAGGGAGGTGCATACTAGCCCAGGACGCCTCTCAGATGCTGCTGTGGCCAGCTGCGGACAAGCCCAGCCGGAGGGCTCTGTTCCCACTCGCGTTCTCAAAGAGCCGCGACCCGAGGCCAGCTTGGCTTCACGCCTGGTCTCTGCAAGTCGGAGCTGCGGTGGGGCCGCTGTGCCCTGGGCCTACGGGAGAAAGACCCCATCAGTGGTGTGGGTGGGGGTTTGGCCTCGCTGGACTTCGTGTTGCCCACATGGGAAAAGAGGGAAAGTGGGCAGAGTGTCTGTGGGTTCCTCACCTGCCGGGGCATCTCCCCATTGCAGGCTCTCTCTTAGATGCCCGTAGCTTCCTACTGTTGAGGGTAAAGTGAATGCATTTTAAATATTTTCCATGTCTTTTCTTAGCTCATCCTTCCTGTAACTTCCGCACCTAGTTCAAAACCTTAAGAAACTCCAGATAGACGCAGTTTCACCCTCCAACAGACTGAAGTGAGGCTGAAGTGGTTCTGAATTTTTGGTGTGTATGGGATCCTCTTGGGGAGGTTGTTCAAATGCAGATTGCTGCCCCTTACCCTCAGCTTCTGGTTCTTTAGCTGTAGGGCAGGGCCCAGAATTGGCATTGCTACCCGGTTTCCAGGTGTTGCTCAAGCTGCCAGTTATTACTTTGATAATCTGATAACCTCTGCTGTTGGTGTTTGCTGCTAGCACACTGGTATTCTCTTTCAAGGATGGCCCTCCTGTGGGATAATTAATAATGACCCTGAAGCGCCAAACTCAGAAAGGCAAGGTCCCAGTCCTGTCCAGTTTAACACAGGAATGCTCTTTGTTTTTGCTCAAGGTCTCAGTGTCACCCAGGCTGGAGTGCAGAGAGGAGATCACAACTCACTGCAGCCTCGACCTCCCAGGCTCAATAGATCCTCCCACCTCAGCCTCCTGAGTAGCTGGAACTGAATACAGGCATGTGCCACCACACCTGGTTAATTTTTGTAGACATAGGGTTTATATGTTTGTTTGTTTGACACAGAATCTTGCTCTGTCCCCCAGGCTGGAGTGCTGTAACACAATCTCGGCTCACTGCAACCCCCACCTCTTAGGTTCAAGTGATTCTCCTGCCTCAGCCTCCTAAGTAGCTGTAGTTACAGGCGTGCACCACCACACCTGGCTAATTTTTGTATTTTAGTAGAGATAGGGTTTCACCATGTTGGTCAGGCTGGTCTCTAATTCCTGACCTCATGATCCACCCGCCTAGGCCTCCCAAAGTGCCGGGATTACAGGCATGAACCACCATGCTCTGCCAGAGCATGTTGCCCAGGTTTTGCCATGTTGCCCAGGCTGGTCTCAAACTTCTGGGCTCAAGCATCCCAAAGTGCTGGGATTACAGATGTGAGCCACCATGCTCTGCCAGGAATGCTGTCTTTAATAGTAATAAATAAATCAGTGCACTCCTTAAAGGAAGATACCACTTGGGCCATCTGTCTGCAGGTGTTCCAGGCCTTAACCCTTGAAATTTCCCCTAAAGCTGGGAAGGTTTTTCTTGTGCAAGGTGGACACCTGGTGCTACCTTCCAAGCTATGGATACAAGCCAGGGTTTGTGATATCAAACCCTAGGACAAGGTCAGTTCACCTCTGGGTGGGCTGTGACCTAAGACAGGCTAGGGAAGTGAGAGTTGGGGAGGTAGATTCCTGGCTTGTCAAGTACTGAGAAAGGTTCTCATTATTTTTGTTTGTTTTGAGACGGAATCTTTCTCCATCGCCCAGGCTGGAATGCAGTGGCACTATCTTGGCTCACTAAAATCTCCGCCTCCTGGGTTAAAGTGATTCTTGTGCATCAACCTCCAGAGCAGCGGGAATTACAGGCATGCGTCACCACACCTGGCTAATTTTTGTATTTTTAATAGAGACAGGGTTTCACTATGTTGGCCAGGCTGGTCTGGAATTCTTGAACTCAAGTGATCTGCCCACCTCAGCCACCCAAAGTGCCAGCACCGCACCCAGCCAAGAATGGTTCTCGTTCTAACCCAGGTGAGCCCTTCTTACTACTATTATTCTGTTCTTGCAGCTACAAACTGCTGAAAAGAAAGCTTATTAAGCACCACCCTCAAGCAGGAGGAACCCAGACTCTTCCAGCTGTCAGCTGACCAAACTCCTTGACCAAACTCTAGATAGGCTCCCCTAAGCCCTCTTCTCAACTAGGCCTCAATCTTGGCTCATAACATATACAGACTCTTGGTCTGGGTGTGTTGGGTCACACCTGTAATCCCAGCACTTTGGGAGGCCAAGGTGGGCAGATCACTTGAGGTCAGGAGTTCAAGACCAGCCTGACCAACATGCTGAAACCCCATCTCTTCTAGAAATAAAAAAGTAGCTGGTTGTGGTGGTACATGCCTATAGTCCCAGCTACTCAGGAGGCTGAGGCAGGAGAATTGCTTGAACTCGGGAGGTGGAGGTTGCAGTGAGGAGAGATGGTGCCATTGCACTCCAGCCTGGGCAATAGAGCGAGACTCAGTCTCAAAACAAAACGAAACAAAATGCCTGCCTGAGAAAGCCCACCACTGCCAAAAGAATTGACTGTTCCAGACAACAGCCAACCATAGGCTCCAACTATACTTTCTCATCAGGGCATTTACTAAAAAGGGCTCACAATTGTGAGTTCCTTCTCTGATCCTCTGAGATGTGTAAGTATGATCTACAACTCTAGAGGGTCTTTCTCAAAGACCTGACAGCCACTCCTTGAATGTCATCATCCTGAAGTGTAAGGCCTCTGTCTCCCATTTTTTGTGGGAGGATAGAATCCTAACTTTGACAATTACCAGTTAGTGGACAGAGCTGTACACTGACCAATCCTTTGCAACTTTTCATGTCCCTGACTCTACCGAACCACTGCTTGCCACCTTCCCTACTCCTTCATCCACTTTAAAACACAGCTAGGCCAGGCATAGTGGCTCACACCTGTAATCCCAACACTTTGGGAGGCCAAGGCAGTTGGATCACTTGAGGCCAGGAGTTCTGATAGCAGCCAGGCCAACATAGTGAAACCTCTCTCTACTAAAAATACAAAAATTCCAGACACGGACAGGATTGACAGATTGATAGCTCTTTCTGGATTCTGTGGGTTTGGTGCATGGCCGTTCTTAATTGGTGGAGCAATTTGTCTGGTTAATTCTGATAATGAACCAGACTCTGGCATAGTAACTAGTCCCATGACTCCCGAGCCCAAAAGAGAGCCCACATAGCCAAGTCAATTCTAAGCAAAATGAACAAAGCTAAAGGCATCACACTACCGGACTTCAAACTATACTGC